TTTTTTTTTTTTGTTTTTGTTTTCTAACACAACATATATTTTATTTTTTTAACATCATTGAATTCTGTATTTTTTTTTATTTGAGAAATTTCAAATATTATGTTTCATTTTCCTTTGCCTTTTACTTAATGCAAATTCACTACTTTAATCTTAGGAACTTTTGATATAACTTAATAATTTAATAATATAATGAATTTCATAACCTAAATATTTTTCAATTGTAATTTATATTTTATCCAAATTACTACTTTGTAAAATACATTAAAGAATATATGTTAAAAAAATACATAAAAGAATATAAAATGAAAATTTATTTCAAATTCTAAGATTGTAACTTGTAACATATACTTAAATCCCTATCTACAAAGAAAAAAATAATTTTCCAAATATACATTTTTTTAAAAAGAGTTAAAGATGTTTAAAGAATTCACAATTTAGCAAAAATGATTTTAGGATAATGAAAATTAAAAGAAAAATTCTATAAAAACATTTATTGAACATCCCAAAATTTCAGTTAAGATTATTGTTAGAAACTTAACAAAATTAATTAAAAATTTAATTAAGTTTGGTAATTTTAAAAAGGTTGGGGACTATTTCTTTTGTCTAAATAAATGGTTAAGACAATATCTAATGTTTACGGCAATGGTCGAGGATTAGATCTAGTAGCTACTCTTTATTTTTCACTATGCATGTTTATTTTAGTACATCAAATGATGATCTATTTATGTTATGAGATAAAATTTTTTTCTTTTAATTTCTCCCTTCCTCATCTTAAAATTTGAATTTAAGATTTTTAATTTAGTATTTTAAATTTTTAATCATTTAAAATACCCATTTAAAAGCTTTTATCGTGAATAATTAAAATGAAAGAAAGATGACCAATTGAGCTTTATACACAATTTTTAAAATTCGTTGCACTTGGTGAATAACATCATAAATGTTCCAACTTTTAAAAAATAAAACGTTGAAAGAGATTTGATCAATCAAATTGGAGAAAAAAACAAGATTCATATTCAATTTGTACATCATTTTTTGAAATTATGGGTACTCATTTGTAGCAAAAATAAGTTGCAGGTACTCATTGCAAATGATCATTGTTGTCTTTCAACTTGGGACTGAAAAAGGGGAAATATATGCACTTTTACAGCTGGAGACTGGAGATTGACAAAATTAAACCTTTTCCACCCAATGGTCCTAACCCACCGAAAAGCCAAAGCATTCACTAGATTTAAAGCTTTATTTGATGATACTTAGCGTAAACCTTTATTTAAAAATGCAAACTTATTATTTTTAGTTTTTTAAAAATTTTAATAAAATTTTACTAATTTTAATTAATCTAGAGATTATATTTTAGATAATTAAAGATAAAAAAAGAAACCACAGTTACAATAAGCACAGACAATCAAAGCATAAAAGTAAAGTAATGATACCGAAGTGACTACACCTTAAATTCTTCCCACTTCATTAAATTCATTTTACTGTAGTTTTTAACGCGCTGAAGAAAGAAAATCATGAAAAACCCACCGTCGGATTAGACTTATTCCTATCACAACTTTTGTTAACATTATTAATTTAATTATAATTTTATTAATTTATAATAAAATTTCTCTAATTTATATTTTAAAAATACAAATTAAAAATGTATTAAATTCAT